GATTGATCTACATACGTATCTAAAAAAAACTCGTAACATATAGGTTACATCTGATCATATAAAAATAACTTTACCGTTGATGCAGGATTCTCGTCGTTAACAAATTATATAGGTAATTAGGTATACCTATGTTTCTTGGATTGCTTTTCCTTGGCCATTTGTTCAAAAAGGCTACCATCATACACACTCCTTATTGTCTCTTTAGGTAACAAACCATTTTCATCTTTGCAAAGTAAATAAAGTATTTTCCACTCTGATTTAGCTGCAATGCTGCATATTATTCATCAAATTATCTCTATTACTTTCTTTATATATATATAAAAAAAATGTAAACATTGCATATTAAAGAGAAGCATTCATTGTTTGTGTGTCTTACTGTCCAGCAAAGTCCTTGGGTTGCTTGTTTGCTTTGAGTAGTTCATCTAATTCCTCACCGGTTAAGGCATTGGCGTTGGTTCGTCCATGCTTATGGAACAATTCCTCGAATTTTTCAGGAACGAACCTTCAAAATACGAAGAAAGATTTAATTTATATACATCGATGATACAAGTTATGTTTGTATCGACAATACTTTAACTATAACATGTAGTCTATCTTATTTTTCCAAGTAACTTATACTTTTATTCACCATTGATAGTAACATATAGTTATCCTTTTAAGTGATCACTACTAAAAACTCATGTATACACATACTATCACTCTATCAGTATATAGACGTTAAACTCATTACGTTCCCATCCATTATAGTAATGTCACGATATTGAGGGAATCTATGTACACCCCAACACACCCAAGCCTATCAACTAACTAGAGCGTGGACAACATAATATAAGATCAGGACCAAAACAAAGGATAAATCAAGAATCGAGATAAGTGGTGTAACTCTGATATACGTTGAGATGAAACTAACCTTCACTTGCCGTAACCTAAAAAAGTTAGCTCGTGAAGTAAGAATTATAAAGAGTCCAAATCTCTTATGCCTTGTTTTTCACATATCTTGTTTCACTTATTACGTGTAGTTATCTTTTACACGACGCGATTATGTAAAATTCTTTACACTGTCAATGTATAAAATGTATAAATATTAGTATATTACCTTCCTTCAGTATCATAGATATCACTATCACTAGTGTGTTTGGCAAATTTGATGTTCTTCACCTCAATTGGAAATAGTGGAGATGGCCACTTCCCCTGTACATAAAACATATATGCACATTCATCTTATAGCACTTTTTTTTTTGGGCTAAAAGTTAAAATCTTATAGCATAAACTTGTACATTAATCTTATAGCACTTCTCTTAATTTGGTTAAAAGTTAAAAGTCTTGTAGCATAAACTTGCACATCAAAGCCATCTTGATGGCCCAATTAAGAAAGAATAGTATATAACTAATTATGGGAATATAAAACAAAAGGCATATATCTAGTCATGTTAGATTGGAATATCTAATATTCACTTTGTCAAGACTAGAAAGAAAGGGTTTTCTTATCGCAAATTAATGAAAAATTTGTGTTATAAAATATTATTATTCGATTTCCATCAAACCTGTTCACTAGAAAATGAAAAATTTATGTTATAAAATATTATTATTCGATTTTCAGCACTCAGTTCACTAGAAAAACGTAGGATGAAAACCAGATTCTCCTTGAAACAAAGGAAAACTTCCTAATTTTTTTCATGTTAAAATATTATTATATTTTCTTTTCTCACGAATTCAATGAATAAATTAATGATTTATATCAATATTTTGATAATATATTACTAAGTTCATCATAAATCATGTTAGTTATTTTAAATTGAAAACATTATTAAGAATTTTAATATATCTACGCAACGCGCGAATACGTATACTACTAGGAGAAAAGAGGGAAATTACAGGTCGAGTTTTGCCACTTAGCCCAACATTAATGAAAATGGAAGCAACTGTTGAGAGGAGAACACCACTTCCAATTTTTCGAAATCCTGATAAAAATATAAAAAGAATACAAAAAAAAAGAAGTTAAATGATAATGAAAAAGCTCAAAATGACAATAATTCGTGTTAATCTATCACAGTTATAAGTAGAAAAAGTATATATATAAAAATATACGACATATATTTATTAATTTGATATAAATAATCGATTCAAATTAAACTTATATCGATAAGGTGAGAATGTGCATTAACATAATCCACAATAATTTCGTTACAAGTGCACATGAAAAATTTATGACAAAATTTAATTAGCACGAAATTAATAAAAGAAAAATATTCTTTTAAACACGTTCTCTCAAATATTTTATAACATTTATGATAATAAAATAAAAATAACCTGAAGTATTTTAAAACAATACTTTTTCCATATATAAAGAATTGTCATAACAAAAAATTATAAAATAATAACATTGTCACGTAAATTAAAACATAAAATATTATGTATCATAGTTTCGCTTTTTTAGCTTCGCCCCTTTAGGGGTTACTAATTATCATCCGTTAAAAAAAATAACTCGATGAATTTAGTAGATCGTTTTACGAGGCGAGGGAAAGATTAAATTACCTTTATAAGTTTCCCATGGGTAAATGACACCATCTTTGTTAATATCAAAAAACATAACATGTTTTTCCAAAGGTGTTGGCTCCTCTTTCCTCTCAATTTCTGCATTATTAAATTCCCAAGAACCATAAAATTACTCAAACAAACAATAAATATAAGAAAATTAAAAAAAACAAAAATTAATTACAATTAAAAAAAATTGCATACCCTCTTCATCAATATTATTTGAGGAAGAAGCCATGTGATAGGAAATCTTGTTAACACAAGATGATCAACATATAGAGAATAAATTGAACTCAAAATTTACCTTTTTTTAAACAATATATAAATAAAGAATTTTTTTTTGTTGAAAATTTAAAGCATTAGATGTGGATTTAGAGAATATAATAATTTGGGGTTTTGCTTTTTAACTTCCTTTTTTTTTTAAAAAAAATTCTTTGAGTTGTATTATATTCCCAAGACAAATGTCTAAAATATATAGTTGTGAACAAGTAAAAGTGTGTAGGTGGCAACCTCAAGGGAATTGTGAAGTTTGCTTAGTGTTCTCACACAAAAGCACTTACCCCCCCCCCCCCAAACCCTACCCCACCTTAAGAAAAATAAAGTTTTGGATAAACATATCGAGCTGAGTTGAGCTGAGTCGAGTTCAATGGCGTGAGCTTTAATCGAGTTGAGTTTGATCTGGCTTTGATCGAGTTATTAAGATATTATTTAAGCTTAAATTAAAAAGAAAAAAAAGTATAGATTAGAGCACAAGTTCATAAGATATGCATTTTGCTTATAACTCTTTTATAGGGTAATTTAAAAGATAAATTCATAAAATTGATTGAATTAAAATTGCTTTAAAATATCAATTAAAATAATATTTGTGTACAATATCTTTTTTTTTAATAGAAAGATTAAAACCATATCCACAAGCAATGCTTCCCAACCCACAAAGACATCTAATGATTAGGGAGATATTAGTTCCTTTCTTCACTATTTGAACTTCATTTTTTCATTTATATATATAAATAAATATAAATATTTGATTGGTTAAATTATTATTATTTTTTTAAAAATATGGGTTTAATATAATTTCAAATAAATAATCGTAAGGAGTTCATACTCAATTTTTTTTAGATAGTATATTAGAAAAAAAATTATTGTATTTTGTGAGCTGATAAATTACGTTATGAATTCGTCATTGTTTCACTCCTCAAATTTTACTTTTTTTTTCTTTTTTCTTGTGTTGCTTAAAAGGAATTATAATAGTTTACAAGAAGTAGAAGCAACGAGGGGATATAATAATAATAGCGTGGAAGTTAAAGCATGGAAAAAAAGAAAAAAAAACAAAAAAATGTTTGCTTTTAGAGTAAATTAAGTATAACGGAAAATATACAAATATATTTATTTATTTTTGGCTTTAGCCTTACTCTTTTTCTTCTTATTTATAAGGTGCAATATTTTTTTTAAGTTAGATTATCGTATAAATGTCTATTATCGTATAAATGTCTACGAATTTTAAGTTAAACATCAAATAATCTTGATTATAACATGATTAATGCAACCTTGATACAAGTGGTAAAGAACGATGATCTTGATGTAACGACTTTTCAATATAATTGATAAATAATATGATTTTAATAAAATTTAATTTATTGCGATAAAAGTTTATAAGCCTATAACTTAAAGAAAAATCATTAAATATGTATAAATAGTAGACTTTAAAAACCCATAAACTCCAACTCGTAAATTTAGCTTTGCCCATGAATTAGCCTTCAAATCATGATCAATACCATTGAGATATTCACTATATACACAACTATAAGATTGTTTCTCAATTGGCACACAGTGATAAAATCAAAATTTTCATTTTAGAGAATTGAAATATAAAGAATTAAATATACTTGATAACTACGAGGATTCAACATATTATAGTATATATACATAAAAGATTCCAACTTAGGTAGTTACAAAATAGTCCCTTATTTCTCACACAACAACTCCAAGACAACATTGCAACTAGTTAGATAGTAATATCGAAGTCAGAATTTTCACTAAAAGAGTTTAAAATATGAAGAAGTAAACTCACGACGAATTTAAAAGGGTTCAACATCTACTATATATCCTTAAGAAAAGTATCTTTAACAATATACAAATGATATAGGTTTCTTCCCCTCGACCCTATCTGACTCCACACTGTTCTCAATGGGCACTTTTGCTGAAAAACTTCTCAATGCTCATGTTGAAGACTAGCAAAGCGTCGAAAGGAATAGAAGGGGGGGTAGCATCTTATACTCTTCGTGAGAACTTTCAGATCATAGAAGCATTCAGAACAGACTCAACATTCATTTTGTTGATAGAATGATCCATTCCATTAGGGACTTAGGGAACTCAAAGAATTTGACTTGACAATCAATGATAGATATATACAAGAGGTCGATTTTTTTTATAAAAATATTATACTTAAAATCGGAGAATAGAGATATCAGACATATTTAAATATTATTTGAAACATTTAAGACCAAAATCATAGTTATGTAAACAAACATAACAATAAACAAAAATTCACAAGCATTGGCCCTAAATGATACAGTTGTGAAAGCCCATTGATTATCCAATATTTATGAACATCATTGGACTTTTTTTTTTCTCTATAGATTTATTTACAAAAAATCCTAAAGAAAATAAATTATTTTATTTTATTTTTCTAGCTAATAGCACTTTCAAAATCTGATGAATTTAACCTATTAACTAATTTCTCAAGTGCTTCTTTCATCCACCATTGTTGACAAGCTTCACTTGCTTCCTCCACTGTCATCTACACAAATAAAATCAAAATAAAATTTTAGTTTGGTTTCACTAAAAAAAAATTTAACTATGAAATTCATCTATAATATATTGTTAAGTAACTACATTCAAAATTTTCACTAATAAGGTAAGCAAACTTAATTATTTTATAATTTAAATCTTAAATATATGTATAATTTCTTGTGTTAGAATGAAACTAAATCCCTTGCTCCCACTTGACTTCGCTAATGATTCCTATCTCACACAAGATACGAATAATAAGCTAGGTCTGTCTACGCTTTACCTTTTTTAATTCGCACAAATAAAATCTTACTATTATCAGTGTTTCTTGCAAATTAAAAAATAAATCTTAAAACTTTTTTTTGTTATTAAATTTTTTTTTGGATGTTCAAAATATTATAATATACTTACCCATGCTCTTTTTCTTAGATTTTGTTCAGGCCAAAGTGAGAGTTGTTCAGTAACAAGCAATGGAAACATGTAACCTTCATGATAAATGCCTTGGCTCTTGCTCTTAAATCTCCATTTTCCTAATTCACACTGAAAAAAACACACATACAAATTATTAAAATTTCTATACCAAAAAAAAATTATATTCATTTAATAACTAATTTACGTATCATACATTTCTTTAGGAAAAAATCGACTCTAAAACTTCTCTTACCAAAAAAAAATAATGTGTACAATTGAGATATCCAACGATATCTAGAAGAAATATTCTACTTTTGTTTGAAAAAAGATTGATTTTATTAGAAATTTCTAGATATATGAATATTTATGATTTATTTTAAATGACTAATTTAGAAAAATATCGATCTTTGATAACTTCTATGTCCACTCAAAACACAACACCACATTAATTATAACAACACCATGATCTGTGTAATTTCATAAATAGAATTTGATTAAAAGAGAGTGTACGTAAACTTTATTTTTATTTGGAGTTTATCATAAGAACTAGTGTTTTATTTTTAAAAAATTTATATCCAGTCAAATTATTTGCTAACTAATTAAATATTACAACTTGTATAAAAAATAAAATAAAAATATTTATTTATTAAATTACCTGAACAATGCCAAGAACACCAGCTTCTTCAAGGGATTCACGAGAAGCTGCTTCCTCTACTGATTCATCAGTTTCCCATCCTCCCTACAAATATAATTTTAATATTTTTTTCGTTTCAATTTATATAATAAATTTTTTTCATTCTGTTTTAAAAAGAATTAACGAAAAAAACAATATTTCATATATATGTATGTACCTTGGGAAACATCATTGCATGACCTTTTTGTGAACTAATTACAAGCACCTCAAATTCACCATTTCTTGTAAATCTATATGGAATACATCTGAAAAATAATAATTATTAATTTAAAAACAAATTAAAAAGATTAGGACAATTTTTTTTAAAAAAATAAAAAAATTACACCTACCCAACAACAAGACGATGACCTTTATTATACCTCTGCATTTGCCTTCCTGTACGAGAAACCATACAAACCATTTTTTTTCTTAAAAAAAAAGGATAAAATAGGCAAATATTTTGTGTTTTAGAAAGAAAATAGACAAAAAGATGATAAAAAGAAATAGAAGAGAGAAGAATTTTTGAAATTGGATTTTGTCTAAGGCCTTTAAATAGAAAAAAAATCCACCAACTACTTCAAACCCCCCCCCCCCCCCACAACCACCCCAACAAAAAATATATTACAGATTTATATAGGCATAATACATATATTGAACTCTAAACTTGACTTCAGATTTTTATAATGTTCAAACAAACACTTTAACTATCCAACTTTAAAAAAAAAACACGTGAGTCCTATATGATACAGTACACGTAGGATACCACGTAGGACAAAAAATGATATGTACGACATGTGTGTTTATTTGTTCAACTTCATACAATTTTAAGTGTCTAATTGTGCGCACTCAAAGTTGAAGGATATAAATGTAATTCGACGCAAAATTAAAGAATATATTTGTGTATTATGCCATTTATATATGTGTCTCAAAATATTTGTTATATATTTTTCGAAAATTAAATTATATGTATTTTTATCAAATATTATAGTTTTTATAATATATTTCTACAAGTCTTTAATTTTTTGAATTTAAATTAATTTAATATTAAGAACTAGTTAATTCAACCAACCAAAAGCAAAATATGATAAATATATTGATTACTCAAACTAAATTTCTAAAAATAAAAGCTCTAATTGATAAGCAACCTACGATAACAAGTTATACATATAGAATATTAATTTTTAATATTTTCATTCGATATGTGATACATTATATTGAAATACGATTAAATTTATATCATATGATACACAACTCAATTAAAGAGGAAAAAACTAAAGTTTAGAATTCCTATATTAAAATTAAAGATTCTAATCATTCTAATACAATTCATATTAATTATTATATTGTTTTTATAGTGAGACTTAAAATTTATTTACTTTAGTATAGTCTATTGTTGGATGTTTGTGTGATATAATAGCTATCAAAACCGCGGATGCGTGTTAGAGGCCACACATGTTCATTTATGTAACTTTCTTTCTTCTTTCTTATATCTATTTATTAAATTTACGTATTACGATGATGACGTGAAATAAAATATTTTATTTAATATTGAGATGATTTAAATGAGAAATAAGTTACGAGACGTGAAATACAAATAAATTTTTTATTTTGTTCTTTTAATTTATACCCTAATTAGAATATATTAGAATGATTATATTTTTATGATGTTCTCTAATTATCTCCTAACATTATGCAAATTATTTCGAGTAATTTTATCCTCGTAACTTTATAGATTAATTAGTTTTTTTTAATTTTTAATGAATTTTGATAGTCAATTTGCTAATTAAAGATTTTAACGCATAATTTTTTTACAAAAATTACAAAGCTAGCCCAGAATATTGAGCATTAGGTCTATTTAGATATATAATCGATCTAATTAAATCTTAAAATTAAACAAAGTAATTGATATTTTTAAAATATTGTTCAATATTAAGAAGACGGTATAGCTTAGAAACAAATATCAATCATCGTCTGAACATTATAAAATGACACTATAATTTGAAATAATAACCTATAAATGTTCAAAATTCATATTAAATTGACTATATAAATTTATTATAAAATATTATTAAACCTTGTTTATCCTGCTGGATCTTACTAGGCTGGGAGTTTTGACTTTGTCTCATATATATTCCAAATAATATTAATAAAATAGTAAATGGGAAAATGGGAAGAAAATTTTACTAGTAATTGCCTACTTGTAAAGAAAATATTTTTTTTAATGATGCATTAAGTTTCTAGTCTCTTTCTTTATATTTTTTTTCTTTCTCAACATGTTTTTCTTCTTCTTTTTTTCTCCTGATATTTATAATCATGTTTACATTAGGTTAAGAAAATTAATTTACTATGAATCAAGACTCCCTTCATGTTTAATTCAACACTTTTTTTTAGTAGACGTTCATTGTTCATTGAAATATCATTATTTGCTTTGTTATATTTAATAAATAAGATAATAATAAATCCAATCATCATTATAAAAACTATTAAATATCAATGGTATCGAATTACGCCTCTTCATGAGGGTGATTAAGTGAACTGAAATGATGTCTTAAGATTGAAATATTCACGAAGAATCTGACTTATCAGTAATCTCCAATTTCTGTCATAACTATATAACATGCTAGAAACGAAGAGTTGATATGATTTTATAATTTTATTAATTCACTACCAATTAATAATACATGTAAGTAAAAGCAAATTAAATATAAAATAATAAATTATCTCTTATTAATCAAACCTTTTCAAATGATGTGGTTTTATAATTTTATTAATTCACTACCAAATAATAATACATATAAGTAAAAGTAAATTAAATATAAAATAATAAATTATCTCTTATTAATCAAATCTTTTCAAATGATTGCTCCACATAAAGCCTATTTGTATCTTAGGGATCATATTTTAATATAATTAAGTCAATAATAATTTATTAATGACAAATTTAATTAACAAGATGATCCACACAACTTGGTGTATCCATATAAATGTTTATATTAATACTTACTATGTATTCTAACTTATAAGTAGTAGCTATTTCTTTATTTTCTATTCGTAATTTTCAACATATATATGTGTAATGACTATAAATTTTAATAAAAACAACAACCAATTTTTCCCTTAAAATTATAAGTCTATAACTAATAAATTCATCAGTATCGTAATCACAAGCAAATATTTAATGTATTTTTATAAGCAAAATTTGAAAAAAGAAAGTACATGTTAAAATAATCTCAAACAAGCAAGCAATAAAAAAAAAAGTGAATACAATCGTAAATAAAATATAATAATTAATTAAATCATCACAATAAATATTTGAAATGTAAAATACTATTTTAACCTTTTGACTTCGACTCATCTTCCTCAAGTCCTAAAATGGATTTTATTAATAAATAAGTGTTAGTCATTGACCATATCATTCTTTTGTATTTTTTTTCTATCTAAAATCATTTGACACAATTATTTTCATGTAAATGAAATTATAGAATGTCAACCACCACCGTCCATTTTTACAAAAAGAAAAACCTTATATCAATAAATGTCTATTTTTTATAAAATCAACCTCATCTGTTCATTTTTACAATAAGAAAATATTTATGTTTACTTGTCAATAAATATATATTAAAATTTCATATAAAAATGTATTTACTTTTTTTTTTGTTTTTACTCGTCAATAAATGTTTATAGTAATGAAAGTAATGTATTCAGTTCGTCTCACATGAAAAACGAGTGCATTTTTAAGTTCAAATGAGCTCCAAAGCAGGTTAACACAAATTTTATCAATTTTTATGTGTTATAGTCCATGGAATTATTGTGATGTCGAATTTTCAAAATAAAATGGCTAAAATTTTTCGTGAACGTCAGTTAAGACGTTGGCATTGTATCCAGTTCGTCCCGCGAAGAAAACAGTTGCATTTTCAAGTTCAGACAAGTCCCAAAGCAAGTAACGCAGATTTTGTCGATTTTCATGTGCTATAGTCCATGAAACTTTTGTGATCCGGAATTTCTGATACAAAATGACCAAAATTTTTCGTGGACGTTCGCTATAAGGTTAACAATGTATCTAGTTTGTTTGGTGGGAAAAATGAACATATTTTCAAGTTCAAACGAGCCCAAAGAAGGTAAACACAAATTTTATCGATTCTCGTACATTAAATTTTTGTGATCCGAAATTTCTGAAACAAAATGACCAAAATTTTTCGTAGACACGTGTTAAGACGTTGACAATGTATCCAGTTCGTCCCGTGAAAAAATCGGATGCATTTTCATGCTCAAAAGCATATTTTGTCGATATTCATGTGCTATAGTCAATGGATATTTTGTGATCTGAAATTTTTAAAATAAAATGACCAAAAATTTTTGTGGACGTCCGCTAAGATGTTGTCAATGTATCTAGCTCATCCCGCAGGGAAACGGGTGCATTCTCAAGTTCATATCACATTTCATCGATTTTCATGTGCTAATAGCCAATGAAATTTTTGTGATCCGGAAATTCTGAAACAAAAAGGTCTAAGTTTTTCGTGGAAGTCCGTTAAGACGTTGCCAATGTACCCAATTCGTTCCGCGAGGAACATAGCCGCATTTTAAAGATCAATCGAGCCCCAAAGAAGGTAAACGCAAAAAATTCTCGATTTTCGTGTTCTGTAGTCTAGGGAATTTTTCTTATCCAAATTTTTTTGTGGACGTCCATTAAGACTTTGGTAATGTATCGAGTTCGTCCCGTGAAGAAAAGGGGTGCATTTTCAAGGTCAAACGAACCCAGGAGCAGAACCCCCCCCCCCAATTTTTCGATTTTCGTGTGCTATAGTCCATGAATTTTTGATGATTCAAAATTCTGACGATATTTTTGTCAAAATTTTTCGTGGACGTCCATTAAGACCTTAGTTATTGAGTCAATTGGCCTCGACGGACAAAACTACCAATTTTCAAGGTCAAACGAGCCCCAGAGCAGGCAAACCAACATCTTACATATTTTCGTGAGCTATAATTGGTGATTTGGAACTCCAAAGTTATTTTTATCGAAATATTTCGTGGACGTCCGATAAGACCTTAACTAGTGAGCTGATTGACTTTGACGGCAAAAATAACCCGTTTACAAGGTCAAAAAAGTCCGCAGTAGACAAACCACCTAATTTACCAATTTTCATGTGTTATAATTCACCTTCTTTTTTAGTGATTCAGAATTGCTAAGACCTTATTAAAACCCATACTTAATATTTTTACAGACATTAAGACCTTATTAAACTCCATACTTAAGGTTTTCGATATTTGCGTTGCAATTTCTAAAATTTGACAAGACTTGAATTTCCTTGAAACTCTTATTAAAGCATACTTTTGGGAATATTTTTAATTACCATTTTCTTCCTCTAGAATAAGGACAATTAGTACTATTAATTAATTAAACAATTAGCAATCAAAAGAATCTTTTTTTGTTCCCTCATGAAAATAATGTGATTGACTTTAATATTAGACTAGATCCATCCTCCAACCGAGTGATCTACATTTTTGTTAGACTTTTCCT